AAGGAAATAGCATTATCAGCCCTGTACCAGGCACTATCCAGTGCCTAGCTTAAGTTATCTCAATTAATTCTCACATTACAATTCCACATTGGTTATCTCCATTTCAAAACTGGGAGAAACAGGCAGAGAAATGTTAAGGTCACACAATGATTTCACCGATTTTTAGGCCCAAAACCTGGAGCTGTCAAACCTATCCCTCCCAGGCTATGCTTATAAACCCATTTAAGTCAAATAATTCTTTCAAATCACAGGTTTCAAACCAATTTTAAGGACTCAAAAATCCAAGAATCAACTCTCAATTACAGGAAGACTAATTCTCTAGGTTTTGTTCAAATTTTTCTTATTTTGGAATATACCCAATATTTAATTATAACTATAAATGGAGTATAACCTTTAAAAATTGTGAATCACTATGTTGTACACCTGAAACTTACGTAATACTGTAAATCAACTATAGCTCAGTTAAAAACTAGCATTAAAAATTTCTTGTTTCTATTTTACTTGCTCTTTGACGATTTCATTTCTTTCTTCCTTTTTTAACGGAGGTACTGGGGATCAAGCCAAGTACCTCAGCATGCACCCTACTAACTGAGCTATATACCCACCCCCCACCCTCCACTCTGACCATTTCAGCATGCTATAGCACCTCTTAGGAAGAAGTGCACAGGTAAATACAGGATCATATTACTTACAATCAACTTTAGAATTTGTTGTAAGTTCCGCTCAAAAAGACTTTATAGAAGGTTAATTCCTGGTTCAAATTATATTTCTGAAATACTTGAACTTCCATGACATGTCCTGCTTCTAATTATTATCAAAAATAATCAAAAGGAATAGTTCTGAACAAAAGAATGATTCATGTTGTTTGAAAAAGAAGTATATAAATCCTCCCTAACACTAAAACTCCCATGTGTTAGGTACTGTGAAGGTCATAATATCTCTGAGACAATGGCGTTAACTGAGTAAAACTTCCAATTCATCCCATGTCCCGAGGATTAGTATCAAACTCCCTTTATTACTGGAGATGAGGAAAATGGAGTTGGAGACTGGATCCAAAAAGCAAAGAGGAAAAGTAGACAATCAAGCAGATCAAAATTAGTTATGGAGAGAGGGTATATAGCTCAGTGGTAGAACGCATGCTTAGCAAGCATGAAGTCCTGGTTTCAATCCCCAGTACCTCCACTTAATAAATAAATAAATAAACCTAATTCCCCCCCAAAAAGAGTTCCAAAATTCAAATAAAAAAAAAGATCAGTTATGACCCTCGAAAAAATAAGAAAAAGTTCACCTTAAAAAGGAAGCCTTTCATGCATGAGAATACTCTGAATATCTCTGTTCACAGTGAAACAAACTGGGAGGCCTATAACCTTCAAAACGCTCTTATCCTCAAAGTATTCGTTATTAATTCTAAGCAGGCCATTAAATGCCAGGTTTATAAACTTTATACAATATGGAATACCTGGATTATCAGTCCACCCCTCTAACAAAAACCACTCATATTTATAGTTCTGCAAAGGCAGAAACATGTGACACTTTTTCTGCACATAATCCGTATTTTGAAAATGCTGCATGTTCAAAGACTGAAAATTGTGATTAGATCAGAAATTAGATATGATGCTGTTAACCGTAACTTGGTTTACTGTTACATATTTTTTAAAGCACACTGACATGTTGGAATTTTTCAAGAGATTTGAGAATGTCAGCGGACACCCCTCTGTAATTGGCAATCCACATGAAGAGCATGAAATCTAACTAATTCAAAAGCCTTTATGGAGCTCCAAAAGAAGGCAAGATACCAAGATGAAAGAGACATTCCTGACCTCGGTATGCAGAGGAATTCTGCCACAAAAAGGAATGAAGTGCTGACACATGCTACGACATGGATGAACGCTGAAAACACTGTGCTAAGTGAAATAAGTCAGATACAAAAGGACAAATATTGTATGATCCCAGTTACATGAAATATGCAGAACAGGCAAAATCACAAAGACAGTAGACTAGAGGTTAAGAGGGGCTAGGAAGAGAGGGGAATGGATAGTTATTACCTACTGGTTAGAGTTTCTGTTTTAGGTGAAGAAAACATCTCGAAAGTAGACAATGGTGATGACTGCAAAACACTGTGAATATACTTAATACCACTGAATTGTACTCTTAAAAATGGACACTCAAAAATAATTAAGATGATAAAATTTAGGTTATGTGTTTTTTTAATGCATAAAAAATGGTTAAAATGAGAGACTGTTATATTTTACCACAATTTAAAAAAATTAATAATATACCCAAACTATTGAATTGTATGGTACATGAATTGTATCTCAATAAAGCTGTTTTTTAAAAAAAAAAAAAAGGGCAGAGGAAACAGAGCAATTTGTTGAAGTACCAAAAGCCCTGAGCAGAGGAGCCTGTGCTCCTACTTCAGTTTCTTTACCCCAGCCTCCAGGTGACAGCTCTTCTCTTTCCTTTCCAAAGCACACCACCACCACCTTATAACCTCCCACTTCCTTATTAGGTCTGGCCTCACAGGAAAATTAAGTTAAAGAAGCTGCAGCAGCAGTCACAGGAAGGGGATGGAATTCAGGACTCACACTATGTTTAGCAGCAGAGCCCAAACCTTCCCTTAAAAAAAAAAAAAATCACACAATAGATGTACAATAAATGTTAGGTCTCTGCCATTCCTTTCCTCTTCTTCTTGCAGCCCAGCATGTTGAAAAGTACGACTTCTCTGCTCCTGTGCTGGGATATCCACTGGCCTACCTCACATGTGCTAGAGCTGTTAAACACAGAGCATCAGTTAAAATGTGCTTATTACTTATTATCAAATCTTAAAATCACATCATAAATTCTAACTAGCATAAGCCTATTTTAGTAAAATAATAAACATTTCTATAGTATATAGAAAGGATGATAAGATAAAGACCAAATATTAATCACCTTTGATAGGTGAGCGTACAGGTGAGAAATGTTTTGGTTTGTCTGTGTTTTTTATAATGAATCTGTTAATTTCCGTAGTAAGAAAAGTAACTGTAAATCTTTAGAAAAATAATTCATTCTGGCTCAAAATTTCACTGTCTCTTATACCACAGGCACTTTTACACATTACTGCACTGAAGCTGGATTAACACCATGTGAAACAGACACCATTGCCTCCATTCTGCAGGAAAGAATAAACTGATGCTCAGAACAGTGACTTGGTTAAAGCTGCACAGCTAGTAACAGAGCAAGGATTACAATCTAGACTTTCCAACTTCAAGCCTGCGGCCCTTTCCATTCCGTCACTTCTTAAAGGGCAATTTGCATTATTGCTCATGACATAATTGTTTGCTTAAAAAATCTGTGCTGGGACTGTTCTAAGATCACTTGCTATACAATCTTGGGCAAGTAAGTGGCTTAACTTCTGGAAGCCTCAGTATCCTCATCTGAAAAGTGAAGGTGTTGGAAAAGATATTCTTTTTCTAACAACCCCGCCAGCTTATGGATTTTAAGTCTAGATACCATCTGAGGAGAAGAAAACCCTGTGGGCAAGAATGAATGGTTGGAAAGAAGCTGCGTCTTAAACTCTCGGCCAAAGGCCATTCTTAATGGAAACAGGTGGTGGACAGTCAAGAGGAAAGAACCACTGGGGAAGCCACAAACTTCCTGGTTAAAGCAACAGCTGAAAAGCTCTGAGTTTGCTTTACTAACAGCAATACTTCAGTCTTGGCTAATTCATGATCAAAAGCCGCACACTGCGAGTAAAGCTAGAAAAATACAAAAACTGGCATGGGGGTAAGGGAGAGATCTGTAGCAATAATTTATGCCTAGTAATTCGATGATTTTCCAAGTGCACTCAGTAATGTTCCAACAGAAAGAACCCTCAGTGATTCTCAGGGACGACTCTTCCACAACAAGAATTTAAGGAGAAACTGAAACTTGCATTCCACTCTGAGATGCCACACTTTTGGAAAAGAGCCGACCCAACACTAGTGGAAAAGGTGAAAGAAAGCAATTAAAGCCTTTCCAATCCACAGAAAATCAAAGAAAGCGAAAAAAACTTTAAAGGGTGAAGTTCCTGTAAAGGATTTATCAGGTATCTGTAACCCCTTACACTACAGACATCATACAGCTTTCTAAAACGGTTTTTACACAGCTTTTTACGCTAGGATAATAAGAGCACAGCATTAACTTTGCTGGCGAGGAAGAGTCCATTTTGCTAAAACAGGCTCCGATCAAAATCTCACCACCCTTCCCCTCAACTACGAGGATGAGCCTAAACCAAGGAGAAGCTGCTTAAAGCCCATGCAACAGTCTTAGAGAATTAAAACAACATTCTGCCCCGAGGACCACAACCAACACAGTAGAGGCTTTAAATCCAAAACCAGATAGCGAAGAAAGCTCCTCACCGTGCTCCCGGGTGCGAGATTCGTGCCCAGCTACTAGGCCACGACTGGGTGAGCACCTGACGTGGGGGGAGGGCGAGCCAAGGCCCTAGCGGATCTGGGGCGAGGAACGGGGGGCTCTCGAGGCTCCTGAGGAGAAGCGCTGTTCTCCAGAGGCGGGGGTCCTGAGGACCCCCCACCGGTAACGACCAAGAACACGTGGGGCGACAGGAGCAGAGAAGGGATGTCCCGGGCTGGCAGCCTGGGTCTGGCAAGCCAGCCGGAAAAAGGAGGATGGAGCTACCCTGGGCCGAGAACGGAGCCCTTGGGACCCCGAGGGTGAAGGCAAAGGGCGCGGAGACAGGGGACAAGGCCACGAGGAGGGCGGGTCTCCCTGGGCCCGGGGGCACGCGCCGGGCAAGCGCGAAGAGACCCGGGGAGCGGAGGACCCCGACACACGGGAGGAAATCGCAGACCTGCCTCCAGGGAGCGGGGAACGCGGAGCGGCCGCGCCCGGAGGGCCCTGTGACCCGCGGCCGCCCGGGCCAGTCCCGCCCCGCGGCGCCACCCTCTTGCCCCTTTCCCTCCCTCGCTCGCTCCCTCCCTCCCACCCGCGGCCCGTTATCCCGCGGCCGCCGCACTTACCAGCGGCTGCACCTGAGCCCGCCGCTGCCTCAGCTGCTGCCTGCGCCTTCGCAGCCGCCGCCGCCGCCTCGCTGCTGAGGCCGAGTCCCGGGGGAGCCTCCGCGTCCCGCCGCCGCTGCCGCTGCCGCCAGAGCAGAACACCCCAAAATGGCGGCACTTCCGGCACCTACCACCGGCGGGGAGGGCCGAGAAGGAGGGGGAGGGCAGCGAGGGGAACGTACCACCGTGGTGCCGGCCGCAGCGCCGATCCGAGCGGTGCGCCGCGCAAGGGCGGGCCGAGCGCCCGGCGCTGCAGCGCCCCCTCGGGCTGGGGAGTGGAGAAGCAGGCGCGCCGGAATCCCCAGAGCCTAGGGCGGAACCCTCAGCTCAAGGAGCTGCAGGGGCACATCTCTTTGTCTCGGAGCTCTGCTGGAGAGAAGGGTGGGAAGACCCCGGACTGAGAACCTGAAGTTCTCGACTCTGTGTCCCACACCCGCAGGAGTTCTGGGTGAACTGGTAGGCAAGGACTTCACTTGGCCCTGAATATGCGCTAAATAAAATATTTGATGAATGAATGAATGAATGGGATGGGTCTTTGGCCAGCGCTGGACACATGACACTTCTCCTTTCTACCCCAGCAGACAAACAACAGGATCCAGGCCTTCCTTCTCAGCTGAAATGTGGAATGTGAGCCTACTGCAAGCTTTCACAGTTAGGGGAATGCTTTCTAGCAGAATGATCGGCTGTGTGAATGTACGACCTTATAAAAATCCTTGCAGCGCCAAGAAGCTCAGAAGGCTCATAAGAGACTGATTTTCCAGCCCTAAACTGCTTCTCCCAGAAAAAAAAAAATTCAATAACTCAGGTTAGGTCCCTGAAGACCTCCTCCCCAGGAATCTCAGGATTCAGGTAAAATGCAAACAGTACAATTGTTTGTTTGTTTGTTTCAAAGGCCGTCATTTATTCTACCCCATGTGGGACAATGAAATGCAGGCAGAGAAAGAAAACTTAGTTCTTGTACATTTTGGCCCCAGCAACATGCAAATAACTCATGGGTTTGCAAATGATTTCTCTGTAACATCTGACTTCCCAGAGCGAATAATCCTTATACCCACAAATACTGATTATACCCTACCTTACCACAAAAAATAAGTGGACTCCCAGGCAGAAGCCTCAAGGGTTTTCCCATGTGTTGGAAGCACTTTTTCCCCTTGAGGGGAGCTGGGGAACCTAACAACAGTGTTTCTGGTTCCATATAGATTGGAACAATTAGCCCCTAAATTGTACATAATCATATTCCTTAATTGTAATGTGTAGTTTATCATTTTATATACATTTATAATGCTGATATATGATCTTGTTCTTGTTTATAGTTTTATGTGTAATTTACTGAAAACATATTTATAGACCATTATAGTTTACACGATATTGTCACATACATTACCACAAGTAATTTTATATTAGTCTCCCAGCTGCCATAGACTGTAAAATCTTTTAAGCAGAGAATCTGTCCCATTCTTCTGTGTGCCATAGGATCATCCAGATATCCCTGTGGTTCACTTCCTCACCTCCTTCGGGTCTTGACTTAAGTGTCACCTTCTCAATTGGGCCTTCCCTGACCACTCTATTTAAAATTACACACACATACACCCATGTTTCCAGTCCCCTCTTCCTTCTTTGCTTTTATGCAAAGCACCTATCATCTGATTTTACTTATCTCATTTGTAGTCTTCCCACACCAGAAGGTAAACTCTATGGGGATAGGGATATTGTCCGTTTTATATCCTCAGAGCCTAGAGTAACACCATGTAGAAACTCAGTAGACGCTGGGGTTTTTTTATTTGACTTAACGTGTTGTGAAATGATTACCACAATAAGTTTAATTAAAATCCATCATCTCATATAGATACAAAAAAAGGAAAAAAAGTTTTTACCTTGTGATAAGAACTCAAGATCTACTCTTAATGACTTTCAAATATACCATACAGCATGTTAGAGCCATCATATTGTACATTACATCCCCAGTACTAATTTATCTTTTTTTAACATTTTTATTGATTTATAATCATTTTACAATGTTGTGTCAAATTCCAGTGTTCAGCACAATTTTTCAGTCATTCATGGACATATACACACTCATTTTCACATTGTTTTCTCTGTGATTTATCATAACATTTTGTGTATATTTCCCTGTGCTATACAGTGTAATCTTGTTTATCTATTCTACAATTTTGAAATCCCAGTCTATCCCTTCCCACCCTCTACCCCCCTGGTAACCACAAGTCTGTATTCTCTGTCCATGAGTCTATTTCTGCCCTGTATTTATGCTTTGTTTTTGTTTGTTTGTTTGTTTTTGTTTTTGTTTTTTAGATTCCACATATGAGCGATCTCATATGGTATTTTTCTTTCTCTTTCTGGCTTACTTCACTTAGAATGACATTCTCTAGGAGCATCCATGTTGCTGCAAATGGCATTATGTTGTCGGTTTTTATGGCTGAGTAGTCCCAGTACTAATTTATCTTATGGCTGAAGTTTGTTCCTTTTGACCACCTTCATCCAATCCCTCTCACCCATCAATAAATATTGTGCAATTCATGAATAGGCATATCTAGGTACTGGGTATGAAATAAGAGGATGAATTGTTTAGCCTTCAGAAGCTTTCTGCAACCTGCCATGAGCTATATGAGAGGGGAGACCACACCTGCCTTGCTATCCTCTTGTTTCTCCAGTGCTTTTCACAGTGTCTAACTCAACAGATACATTCTTTTTAAATATTTTTATTAAGTACCTTTTACCAGTCTCAACCTCACTTTAAGATTATTTATTGATTCATTTGTTTAATGGAGGTACGGGGGATTGAACCCAGAACCTCATGCACGCTAGACATGCATGTACTCTACCACTGAGCTATACTATCCCCCCTCAACAGATATTTCTTGAAAGGCAACCAGAAACTTTCCCTATTTTATCTTCCTCTTAACATAGGGTCACTTCTTGCAGAGCACTGCTGTCACTCTTGCAACTAGCTACCGAGGAAGGCCACAGTCCATTTCTCCAAAATGGAGTGGAGGAACAATTACATGATGAACATAGATTCTTCTAACTTCGAAGGGCTCCCCAGCATGGACAAAACACTAAGTCCAAATACAAAAGAGCTGATGTGAGATGCAGACAAGTATGAAAAGCTCCCTGTTTCATTTTTTTGCCTTCTAAATTAAGGTTTTTCGTTTTTGTTTTTGTTTTTTAGTCTTAATAAGGATGCAAGGAAACAAGCTTCCTCCAAGTGCCGGTGGAAATAAAATTCAGATAATCTGTCTGGAGGAATTTGAGAATTTACATATGTTTCTAGGAGCTTTTTTTTTTTTCCCCTTCGGTGAAGGTACTGGGGATGGAAGCCAGGACCTCACGCACTATTTCCTTCCCCCAGGAGCTTTTCTTAAGGAAATAATCAGGATAAGCACAGAGATGTACTGATGTATTATGAATCATAACATTGTTGAAATAGCATAAAATTTGGTAAGATTGATGCAGTATGATATATCCGTAGCCTAGAATATCATACATATTTTCAAATAATGATGCAGAAAAATATTTAATTGTGGGAAAATGTTCATGATACATGCTTAGTGAATAAAGCAGGTAACAAATTAATAGGTACAATATGATCCCACTTTTGTTAGACAGCATTTATTGAGAGGGACAAAACTCAAAAAGATTTATTAGAATATTAACAGTGCATCTTTACCACCACTTGGTATTATCACTCCTTTTGATTTTAATGGTTGGTGATCTCTGTGTTCTATCTGAGAAATCTTTGTTTACCCAGGTCATGAAAATTTTTTCCTTTATTGTTTTAATCTTTCACATTTAGATCTATGATCCATCTCTAATTTTTGTGTATGGGGTGAGATACGGGTCAAGTTTCTATTCTTTTCTTTTTCTTTCATGTGGATATCCAGTTGATTCAGCACCATTTGAAAAGACCATCTTTTCCCTACTGAGATTTGCAGTGAATCCCTCTTTTTTGAACTCTCATATATTGTTGATAGGAATGAAAATGATCCAACCACTTTAGGGATCTGTTTGACTTTATTTACTAAAGTCAAAGAGGTAAATCGACTTACACCCTGTGATGCAGCTATTCTATTCCCAACGCAAGTGAATATTTATTTCCACCAAAAAAAGTCTGTAGTACTTCCATTAATAATAGCCCAAACTGGAAATGATAGGTAAATAAATTATGGAATATACTTATAAGTGACTACTTACATAGCAGTGAAAAGGAACAAACTGCAACTGTATATAATAATTTGGATGAATTGCACAGACATAATATTGAGCAAAACAAGTCATTAAAAAAGAGTATATACTGTATAAGTCTATTCAACTGAAGTTTGAGAACAGGCAAAAATAATAACGAAAGTCAGAATAGAGGTTGCCTCTGCTAGGGAGACGGCACTGACTATTGACTGCAGGGAGCACGAGGGAGCTTTCTAGAGTACTGAAATGTTTTATATCTTATTCTGGGCGGAGGTCATATGGGTGTCTAGATATGTAAAATTTATCAAGCCATACACTTAAAATTTGTGCTGTTCTATGGCCAGAGAGAATAACAACAAACAACCCAGCAGATAAATGGGCAAAAGAAATTAACGGAGTTCATCTGAAGAATACAAATGGCCAATAAACATAAGATGTTCAAACTTAACTCACAAATAATTAAAGACACTCTAATTAAAACAATGTGGACTTCTTTTTACTGTCAGAAATAAATTAATTAAATTTAAAAAGTTGATAAATTTGTGAGAAACAGGCATTCAGTGTATACAGATATAGCCATATGAGAGGAAAATTTAACAGTAGTCATTAAAATTAGAATATAAAGTCTCACATCTATTTATATAAAGTTCTAGAACATGTTAATTAATCTATGATGGATCAGTAGTTGCCAGGGAATGAGGCAAGGGAATAAAAGGTGTGGAAGGAAGGGACATGAGAAAATTTTAGGGTGTTCCATTGTTCCAATGTTCCATTGTTTTCATAGTGGTCATGATTTGATAAGTGTATACACATGTCAAAGTGTATACTTTAAATTCATGTAGTTTAGTGAATATCAGTTATACTCAACAAAGCTGTGAAAAACTCCCCATGACCCTCTTTAAAAGATGCTCATATCCTTTAAT